GGGCTTAGGTGACTTAGGAACTGTACCAAAAACCTCCTTGTGATTGCTTTGGCTACTACCAGGTTGCTAAAGTTTGCATTGAAGACAGACTTCACTGCAAACCCTTGCTATCCAACTACCAGTTGTTAGTGAAGATTGAAGAAGCGTAACGTAAAATAGGAACTGGAGAATGTTCATCTTCACGGAAAAAGTGTGTCATACGACTGAAACTAACAGGCTTGAACACACAAAACTTCACTTTGAAAGCAAAATGTCTCAGTTTCCAGTTTGCGTTGCACTCTTCACAGTTCTACAACACTTAGTGAGGAGTTGGTGAATGTTTGCAGACAAGTTAGAATGCTCCATGCAAACTACAGGCAATCACAGCAATCTGTTGGCAATCAAAGTAATCACAGAGGTTTTTGGTGCAGCACTATATACCGCTGTCTGATTAATTTTATCCAACAACACCCAGGAAGCACTTGCCAACTATTCAGGAAGAAAATGTTTTTCCTTATCAACCTCTTGCTAGGTCCCCAACCAGTCTCCAGGGCTGTGTGACTAGAGCTTAGACTCCAGGAAATGTTTTGTCTTTAGTGGTGGGGATAAAGACAAGACATTCATGTAACAGAGTACAACCCGACTCTAACAATATGCTAACTTGTATATAATTTTTGCATGTTTGGCCAGATGAAGGTACCGAAACTACTTGGTTAGTTTTAGGAAAAGACTGTGGAGGAAAAGACTGTGGACTGGGTTAAAATACTACATTTACGACTATCACAGGATAAATGAGGCAAATTGTGTCCATATTTACAAATAAGCAGATCACATTTCATGGCTATTTCACAAATTGTGAAATTAAATTTTGTCAGCAGGTTATTCAGTCAGAAATAAAGTCCAGTACATAACTGCTGCCAATGTAAACCTATGACAAAAATATAAAGCTTGACAGGCACTGAAATAATAACCAGAGAATAACATCTAAAATGCACAGGACTGTACATCAGTGGCATGTAGCTGTATGTCCCTTTTACATTAACACGCTGTTTTGTGCATCAACTGTCTTTGCATTTGTCTTTTGACCGAAGAGCACTTGGCAACCTTACAATGTTGATATATAAAGCTTAAACGGAAAATATGTGAAAACTCATCTGGAAAATACAGATCAGTTTTTTTCAATTGCAGGAAGTTCCACACCCTTTGCTGCACCCTCAGTATTTCACTGAACAAAAAAACCAATTAGTCTGCGAAACCAGCAAGTGTGAGAGCGAGACATCCGTCTGTTTTCCACATCTTTGATAAGGATCGAGTGTCCTACACTGTCACAATAACCCTGCTGAGCACTGTTTTCTTTCGTGCAGGTCTCAGCTCCACTTTACCGAACAAGCACTGCTTAGATTTGTATCTTAAACCAGCATTTAGGCCCAACCGCCATGGCCTTTTTCAAACTCTCTGCACATTTCAGTGTGTGACGCAAAGCAAGCGTCGTCATCTTGTCTGTCCTTTTATCCTCCCTTAACAACGAAAGACACATAAAATTAGATTTGTCATCTTAGCTTTACATTCTACATTTAGCTCTAAATTAACTACGAACATAGCGGTGGGATTAGTCATTGTTCAGCACCTATATTTCTGGTTGTGCAGCTTAATCAGGAATCCTCTTGTGTTCGGTACAACAAGTCGAACAGGAACGGCCGGAACAACGACAGTTGTGTGAGGTAAAGAAAAAGTAGACACAAAAGGCTGCTGTACTTAGCAGTTAAAAATATATCCTCGTTCCTTGTCTTTAAAATGACATTAAATACACACTGCACTCGACTCAGTATTAAACAGAATAAATCTATTTCAGCGTTTTTCCATAAGCGCAAAAAAAAAGAAAAAAGGAAAATCAGGCCTCCCTTTTCCTTTTAAGCCGTCACTGCGTTCCTCGGGTCCCACAGGAAAAGCTCCAGATTAAATCACTTCCTCACACATTGTGATACTGTGGAGGCTGGACCACACTGTCCCTGTAACTAGTTAATGCATTGTTTTGATTTGGCTGTTGTTTTTTTTACACACTAATAGGAAATTTGGGGAAATACATTTATTTTTTCTACCCAGTTATAGACTGATAAAGCTCCCTGATCTGTGTGTTACGTATGGAGACAGAGGTAAAGGAGCATTGTTCTTCCTAGAACTGAGGGCTTCTGGACTGAGATCTCAGATGTAGTATATCCACCTGATTATCACTAGATATAATTTAACTTAATGTTATTTTTTTATGCTAGAATATAAGAAGTTTTATGAAGGAGCATAAAAGTGATTTACTTGCATTCCTGATCAGAAAATTTAATTTTGATGTTTGAATGTTATGTTTGATTCATTTCTGGCCTCTCACTTAAGTCCAGTATACTGTCTCAAATTCAAGTATGAAAAATTTAGTTCAGTGAATTCAGTTATTTCAGTTGTAAACAAGTCTTTGAAAGATTTCTGAAATATTTGTGTTTTCTTAGTTTTTTGACAGGTGGTCTAAGAAATTTGTAAGGTACTCTATGTTGGATGCTTGTAGTAAAAGCCAAAGGTCTAAATTGTGTGTATAAAGCCTGCGAGCCAAAAACCCAGGCTTCATTCTGCTTTTAGCATTTGTTTTTCTCTTTTGTTTCTCCTCTAGGTGCTGTATAAATGTCATATAGAGTGGGTAATCGTAATATGGTCTAAGCACACAGCTATAGCTGCGGGCACAACAGCCTCACTCCTGCTGTTCAAATCTGCTCCTTCTACAGGGCAGCCAATCAGAAGAAACTTGGCTTAAAGGGAGATAAAAAAAAGTCTTGTTTCAGACATAGAAGAGCTGACCAACATAACAGGTCTTCTTTCGATGAAGGGCAAAGAGCTATCTGGCTTTGCCCAGGTTAGACATCAACATACTAGCACCTTAAAAAGGCCCAGTCAAACCAGAATACTGAAAACATTAAATTTGTATACATTTAGTTACCCAAATTTATGCCTCAAAGCAAGCCAACACAGCAGTGCTGGTTTTGAAAGAAACCAAATTAGTGTAAAGTAGATGTTTTTCTGTGGGTTAAGAACAGGCGCATCAGTGTCGGCTGCATTTGACTTACAGGAAGTCCTTCACTGCTAATTTAAACTGCACTGTTATCAATGCTGTGCTTTTCCACCTATGACAAGTCAACATGTCCACTGTAAAAAACAACAACATGTATTTCTGCCTCTGATCACTGACACTAATACATGTATGAATTTATTTCTAAATAAGCTTTGGACTAGCATTAGCATCTTCATGTTAGCGCTTCCCTGTTAGATGTAAAACTGTTATCAAACCTCCAAAACTAATTACAGAAATCTTGGTATTTCCAGGCTTTTAAACTTAAAAACGTAACTTTATTTATTCCAGACACAGAAGCAGAAATAAAAAACTTCTAAAATACCATGGCGTGAGCATGCATCGAAGCCATGACAGATTTGTCATTTATTGAGCTACAGTGTTGTTTCTGCTTAACTTTAGTTTCTGCATTTATCAGATAGGGCAGTACAGACAGAGCAGGCCCTGCTGTATCTTTATGCTATGGGAGGCTAACTTCTAGAAACTTTCTGTGTGTTATGACACAAGTATATGACTATTTTAAGGAAAACTCTTTTCAGATATTTGAGAGAATCAAGTGGATCAGTTGCCAAACCAACTGAGACTAGGTAGTTCTGCTCTGATGAAATAAAAAAGAAGACAGACAAAAACACAAAGAAGGACAGAAACCTGTAGTAACTTTGGCAGGAATATCTTAAGACCTCATCATGCAGGAAGTTGGTTTGAAGGCACCATGTGAATGCCACAAATATTCTAATAAAGATTTTTTAAAGTATTTCCTGTAATGCTGATCTATTCTTTGGTGGAAGATGATGTCGCCACATTCTCGTACTCGCCATGGTCCGAGTCCTCCAGTTCGATACCTGGCACCAGGTTGTAGTACTCGGTTGACTGAGTCATGTAAGCTTTCTCCCTGTCAGCTGAGTCTTTCATCACTTCTGTGACACTCACCGTGTCCAGCTCTGTATTATTGGCCCCATCAGGCTCCTGGGAGCCTTGCCTCTCCTCTGTGGAGCTGGAGCGGCACGAGGTGACTCGGGGAAGAGACTCTACTGAGCCCAGCTTGATCTCCACTTCTTCATAGATGTCCCTGGTGCTGCCCAGGAGGGCGGATGCTGGGCGAAGCAGCAGCTGGTTCTTCAGGATCCCCTCTCCAGCTTTACCCTGCTCAGCCGCTGAAGGCTGCTGTTTGCTGCGATGCTTCTGGCCGTTGGAGCTGGAACTGTGAGGCCTCTTTTTTGAGCTGCTGAAAGTAGGCACTTCTTTTTTCTTCCTCGTCCTCCCACAGCACCAGCAGAGTAGCAAGGTGGACAGGACGAGGAGGGGAAGGACAATGAAGAGCGCTGTGAGGCCGGCTGGCCGACACGCATCGGTAACCTTCACCGACAACACAGTCCTGCCGGCCAGGTGCCAGGGAGAGAAGCAGGTCATGTTCCAAAGCAGATCCTGCAGTTTGATGGTGCGATTAGCCTCCCTTCTTGCCTCCAGGCCTTCCACTAACAAGCAAGAGCAGTCCCAGCGGTTCCCATCCAGCTCCAACTTTTGAAGCCTCGGATTGTCCAATATAGAGCTAGGGAGGAAATTTAGCTGGTTTTCTTGTAGAAACAACTTCTGGAGGTTGTTGGAGTCCTTTAGAAAGTCCCCAGGAAGCTCCTGAAGTAAGTTCCCAGCCAGATCCAGCTCCTTCAGACTGGGCTGTCTCCCCAGAAACCCACTTGGTAACATTTTTAGTCTATTATGACTCAAAAAGACCTTCTGCAATGCAGAGGCCCCAGAAGCCTCTTCGCCACTGATATCGAGAGAGCTGATATTACAGTTGGAGAGATCCAGTGTCACTATGTTTGTTTCATTGGTAAACAGAGACCAGTCCACACGGGTGAAAGCAGATCCAGAGTAGTTCAGGCAACACACATCAGCAGGAACCTTGGAGGGAAACTGGGACATAATGGTGGCTCCTGGACAAACACATCCAACAGCAAGTCCTGTCTTCACTAGCAATATGAAAATCAGCCGGAGACTCCACTGGAAAACCATCTCTGAAACAGAAAAGACTGTTAATCCCAGCACAGAAAACATGACTTCATCACTACATATTGGTGCTCTGTCTGTTACTCCACCCTACCTGTTTCCTTGTCTCTAGGAAGGGATCCACTTTATGTTGGCTAACAGAGCTGGAATTATAGTTGTAAACCTAGCAGCTCCTCCTCCAGGTTGCTGTGAGGATCGCAGGAGTTGGCATGGTGACGCGAATCACTGGGGATCAGTTGCTAGCTGTGAGAGAGGAAACAGATGCTTCTATGACTCTCACATGAAAGTAATCTCTTAACTGGCAGATGGGAGTTACACATGCATGAGTGGAGTGAAAAACCGGACACTAATCTGAGAAGAAGGTTATCTACACAGACTTAGACCCCCTCAAATCTGGATCTATGTCTCACTTTAATGCCAACATGTCAATAAACTTGCTCTTTGAAACAACCTCCAGCATTTTGGTGTTTATGGTTGAAGTTGATTTAACTGTGTGTTTGTGTAAACCTGCTTGTAATAATTTACTTTGTAAGGTAAATACAGTAGTACTTAATAGTTCAGTTTAAGCCTGAATTTTTGTTCATTATGGTCACAAAAATGAAGCAGGGTTTCCCACAGATTCTGAGTCTATTTGTGGAAGTTGGGGCCGAGCATGTGTGTGTGTGCACTCGACGGGGGCACATGCACACTTTTTAAGTAAATAAACTGAAAAGACTACTTGGTGACAAATAAATAACAGATTAATAAAAGCAGCAGTTTGTGAGCATGAACTCTGTGGACATGAGCTGCACTTGCTCAAGGCAGCTTTGATTCACAGTAACTGTACCTGTAACTTGTACCATACAGAGTTTATATAAACCATGCAGATAAATATAAATAGCATCCATAGCAGATTTTAGCTATTCCCAGTTTGTGTTCTTTCTGTTAAATTTGGGGCTTGAAAAGCCCACATATTGTTGCTGTGATGGTTTTTCCAGAATCCTCAGTGACTCTTTGGACCACCGGGATAAAAATATGCCCTCCAATGAAGATAAATGAGATTTAGAACCTGTTTACAACATTTCTTGGAGCGAAAAATCTGTCTGTGCAATCAGCGAGCTGAATATTTTTACTTCCAGATGTAGAAGAGTCTGTGGGGATTCTTCAGAACAACAGTAAGTGCTTTTAAATGACCTTCTGGTGCATTTAAACTTCGCTGGTTAATTTAGTTTTGGAAAAACAAATGGTTAGCTCAGTGAATATATGCTCTTAATGTCTGTGTAGGGCACAAACTGGACTTAACTTGAACAGCAAAATACAAATGTGCTATTTTTATCCATAAATATAAACTTTGTTTTGTAGCGTCTGGACAGGTTCATTTTGAAAATGTACGGGAATAAACAATTTCACAGCACGTATAGTAAAAAACGAAGATGACTCAGAGGATGGTACCCAAAATGTCTTATTTCACTGTAATTTCACTCCATCGTAATTACTTTAAACTCAGGTTTCATCCCTGCCGTGTGTCTGGCTGGGAGAACGTGACACGACAATATTTTGGAAAACCTGCACTTGGAGACACAAATAAACTAATTGCTGGTCACTTCCTAAAACTCACATGTGTACTGTGACGCCGCCTGAACATGAAAGCGCATGTGGTCGGCATAAACAAGGCCTTTCTTTTCCAAATGACTTACATGTGAAGCGGGCAGGATGACACCAGCCGGGACGGAGACTGTGTTTGTTTCGCCCGCCAAAAAAAGGAATGCGATAAATTATCAAACAAAAAAGCAAGACCCACCGGGTCTGCCTGTAGACCTCATGTAACCATGGCAACCAACATTTGAAACCAACTTAAGGTAGGGACGGGCTTATCCCAAATAACCTTCACACAACTAAGTTACATGGTAACAACTGGCAACTAGTTACGGTTTCTTCCTGGGTTTAAACCTGAGCAGGGACCTTCTGGGTAGAGTGTGCATGTTCTCCCCGTGACTTTTATCTCAACTTATTGTTGCTCTTTGCTCACAAGCTCAAAATCTATTAGTTGTTCCTTGTACAAGACCAGGGGGTTAGGGCCTTGCAGTCTGTGACTCCAAGGCTCTGGAACAGATTACGACTCCAACTCTGTTTAGCTGACTGAAACTTTTCTGTTTAATCAGGCTTTTTTAATTTGTTTTGTTTTCATTTAACATGGTTCTCGTCTTATATTAATTGTGTTTTAATTCTTGTACGTGCTTTGTGACTTTTATGCCTGTGAAATGTGCTACAGATATAAACTTTACTTACTTTGGATCCCTGGTTTCTCCTACCCCGCCTATCTCAGCTCAGGACACTCTCACCAAAGAGATTCCTAATCTCAGCCAAACTCCATATGCCAGAATTAAACAAGTGATAGAGAATTTATCTGAAACCTTCTAAAACAGGGGTCCCCAATCCCAGTCCACAAGGGCCGGTGTCCCTGCAGGTTTTAGATCTCACCCTGGGTCAACACACCTGAATCACATGATTAGTTCATTACCAGGCCTCTGGAGAACTTCAAGACATGTTGAGAAGGTAATCTATCCATTTAAATCAGCTGTGATGGATCAAGGACACATCTAAAACCTGCAGGGACACCGGCCCGCGTGGACTGGGATTGGGGACCCCTGTTCTAAAAGAAGAACATTTGCTTTTCTTCTAAGCTGTTCTCTGGATTTTGGACCTTTGTTTGGGGAAAACAAGACACAAATCTTCAAGTCTCAGAAAGCTCAATGTATTTTCACTATTTTGATGTCTTATATCAAAACGGGTTATATATTGAACCCACTCTATATAGCGACAGCACTCCCTGATAGCAGTGCGCTCCCAAGCAGCGAAATGCAAATCATTAAAACTGCTCATGAACAGCTTGCTGTGTTTGCCCGTTTGTTCCTCTTTTCATTTTCTCTTTCCAAATGTGTTCTGACTGGGAATATTCTGTGTGAATGTGTTCTAAATAATTTTGATTGTTTTGTTTACTGGTTCCATTTATCATACTTTTCTAAATGATTAAATACATTCTGGTAGAAATAAAAAGGGGGGCTAAGGCCTTGAACGGGCCTTTGATGTGTCAGTGGGATGTGTCCCAGCTAAAGAGGCTTGCCTTGAATCGTGCAGTCTCAGAGGCTCTACTGCCAACATCCTGGAGTTGGACAACACAATTCCCAGACCAGAACCAACCAGACATGTCTATAATTCCTGGTTTACTCAAGTGTAGCGTTTTTAATAATTTTCACAGACTCTTCCAGATCGTGAGTGTGCTCCTCTGTAAAACCAAATGTTCTCCTGGACATAAAAGAGGCACAAATGGCTTTTTTTCAACCTTGACTTAAAATATCAGCACAGCAGCGAGGCTCCTGAACAAATGCAGGAAGTGAGCGTCAGTGGAGAGAAATAATCTGCCTTGAGCTGATATCTGCCGCTTGTAGAGATGATCTAACATTTCTAGTATGAGTATGAGGGAGGATGAGATATGGTCGGTATGAAGGAGGCTGTATATGTTAAAGGGAAAGTCTGTATTAAATGGGATCTTATTGCACTTCTGACAGTGAAAACAGCTTCATAGAGAGTATAACAGCTTTAATTGTGTATTTTAATCGTCACTTTAGACTAAAACTAAATTCTTTAATATTAGCATGAAGTGACTTTGAGTAAAACACATCCTTTACAGGGAATAGCTGATTTTTCCCAGCAGAGCCAAGCTGTTAATGTGAACTAGAAGCTTAGAAACGATACAGCACTGCAGGATCTTTTAATGATATCTGCTACATTAAAAAAAAAGTTTGACCAAGATCCAGACCGAATGGCACATTTTACAGTTGAAAAACCGTAAATTAACCTTGTTAATGTTCTCTGTAACAGTAAAGTACTATCCCTTAATAAACCTGATCCAGTGTGGCTGCACTGTTATATCTTCTTAATAATTTTCCAACAGATACATCTGCACTCGGCTACTGATATACTGGTCTAGCTTTAGCTGTCATATTGGACGTAATGGCTGGTATGGCAACAGAGCAACAGTCACTGGAGACGAGTTTCTGGACACCTGATAAATGTAAAGTCATTTACATCATTCTTGTTTTGGTTTGGTTTGTGCAAACTCCTGAGACAAATATCTGTCCTCTTTAGCAGCTACGTGCTCCAGTGTGTTCACCAGCTGGTTTCTAACTTTGTGTCTGCAGTTTGGTGCGAAGCCAGCAGTCCACAGACAGTTTACATAGCTTTTTAACACTCAGGAGAACAGTGAGAGTGAACCAACGCTGGCCAGGAAACAAAAGATGAGCTGAAAGACACTAAAAGTGAGGGGTGAAAACAGTTATATCAGTCATTTGCTCCTTCTGCCGCGAGCATTCCTGGGATGACAAACAGGCATGTTTCCACTTCAGAGGAATAAAATCTGAATAAAATATGATCACTTCCATCTCCATATTTTTATTTTCTCATATTTATTCAGGACGAATCTGGGAACTTGAAGGTCTCCCTGCTGGAAACTAAACATCTAAATCTGTTGCAGAGTACTGAACATGTGACATTCACTTGTGCTGGGATGCTGATTAGTTGATATATGGAGTAAAGCGTCATTAAAGGGGACTTATCATTCTCTATAATTCTTTCTTTTTTTATTATACCGAGGCTCGATACAGCTCCTTGGTTCTGAAACAAATCATTGCCTTTAAGGCAAATTGCTTCTGATTGGCTGCTCTTCACAAACAGAAGGTTTCACAGCAGGCAGTTGGTGCTTCTGACCTCACAGCCAGATCATTGTTTGGGTGGATGACTATATTATTATTATACAGAGCCAAGAGCAGGAAAAACTGTCTTTAAAAACACTGAGCTTTTTGGCTCACGGGCATAATACTTACACTTACTCTGACATCAGTTTTTAACACTCCGCTCATGTTTAATATTAAAATCCAGTCTTCTAATCGTATATGTATGACAGAAACAGACAGAGAGCACGTTAGGTCCGGATTAAAAAGCAGACATTTATTGATAAATCCTCAAAAAATAATGAAACAAGACAGCAATCACCAATTTAAGATCTACCAGTGGATGTTCATATGTCATCATTTGAACAGAGCCTGTATAGTGCTCTGTTTATTTATAATATGCACCATTTCATTTGCATGTTGCACAGCCCTGTGAGAAATCTTTGTTCTAACTGATGGCTATCAAGACCCAGGAACATCCCTCTGAACACGGAAAAGGAAAATGCGTGAAGGAAATAATTTGCCTGGAGTTGGACACTTTGGTTCAAATGTTCACACCCGAGTAGGAGCCAAGTCTGGACAGGTCTTGTATATGTGCAACTAAGTTCATGCAGTTGCTCGTTAAGATAACTGCATGTCTGAAATGTCAAACTCCCATCTCGCCCTGATAACAGGGGCAGTGAAAAGGTTATAGGGTCCCTGCTGAGCAGCATCTGACTGACATGCCTTGTTTGAGGTGTCAGTCAGTCTATGTCCAGTATTCAGTGCAAACATTAGCTGATGAGCTGATCTTTGGATTCTGACACTACACACAAACATAAGTCACTTGCTGACCTTTGCAGATCTTCTGAGTTACGCCTTTAAGAAGATTTAAATCTGGAGAACAAGGATGATCTCACTGACCAGCAATGTGAGTTGCTACATCCTCTCTGGGAGCAGAGCTTCCTCTGAAATAACGGTCTCCATTCTCCTTCATTTGAGCAGAAAATATCTGAGCTAAATTAGAGCTGCAGCTGACCACACACTGGGGTGGGGGGTGATTTGGGGGCTTATTGTGTAAAATTTTAATTCTCCAAACTCAGTACTGTTAAATATACAAATGTAATTCAATAATTACCAAAATCAAATTAATTAAATATTCTAAACACTTTTTGGTGTATGGTCGACTTTCTGAATGTGATTGGATAGCACTGGGTCACATAGGTCCGTGACCACCTGCAGTGCTTAAATCTGGCCACTGTTCACCATAAAAACACATTAAAAGCATTATTGTACGACTCGGACCAAAACAAAGTGGCTATAATTGAAAAAACAAACAAACAAACAAACACGGGAACACCTCCTAAAAGTTAAGTGAAGGTGCGTTTTGACGCACAAACACGCAGTCCATATTTAAAACACATCACCTTACCTGCGATGTCAGCTACAGGCGTGTTGCGCTGAAACCCTGATGGACGACTCGAACATCACGCACAGCCACGGCAGCAGCTCCTCTCTCCTCTCTGCATCCCATCAAGTGGTCCGTCTGAAGGGCTTCCCCTCTTCCAGCGAATCCGGGGGCGCGTCTTCCTCCGAGAGGAGTGTGGAAACACAGCCTCCTGGTTGTGTGAGGGAGTGTATCTTTGTGTGGGTGTTAATAAAGTTAATCCTTACACAATGTGATCCTTTATTTGGTTGAAGACGACAGATTGAACCCTCGCTGAGCACCGGGCAAAGTTTAACTGAAGCCACTGAAGGTGTGTGATGTAGCAGGGCGCCACCTCTTGGTTGAAGTCGTTTTCAACATTTCACCGACTCAGGATCGGATGAATCCAGTGTTGGCGTATTTTAAATAATAAAAAGCAGATAAATATAAACTTGAATTCTAGCAAAATTTTGTAAAAATTGAGTGCATATGTTGTATTGGTTATTTCATGCACTAAAAACAGCTGAAAGTGGCTGAGAAAAATGTCTGACTCGTATAATCCACAACCCACAGGATGCTGCTGTTCCAACAGTAAATAATCAGAATCAGAACACTTTATTAATCCCAGAGGGAATTACATAAAGAACTATTAATATCAAAAATTAATTAATGGCACAAGTAAACACACTTGTCACTTTAGCAGACGTACAGATACTTTGGCAAGAGTTGAATCAACGATTCAACTTTATTACTCAAGTAAAAGTGAAGGAGTATAGCCTCTGAAATATAGGCATTTATTAAAGTCAGACTTATATACTGGAAGATTCAAAAATCCATCTTAGAAACTTCCGATTGTTCCAAGTCCCAGTAATTGTGGCAGTTTGAAAAAGATTTAATAAAGGTTTCATAAAATAACAGTCAAATTTCAGATGAGAGAAGAAGAAAAACAAACTAAATGAAAGTGGCTTACTGCAGAGTGCAATTACTGCACTTGTGTTCATTATGAACCGATTTCTGACAGAAATGTTACACACTGCAAATTCATTCCCTCACTCACTTTAAAATAAATAAAATACTGATCATCTCGATGCCCCTTGTATTGTGGCTCTCCTGCTTTGAAAGGGAAACTGCAAATACATGATTGCAACTACAAAGATATGCATGGGCCTGCTCTGCTCCACAGAGTTAGTTTTTTTAGGACTTCTGCCTCGGCCTAAACCAACACACTCTCAAAATTTGACCACCTGTTCCTGAGACGTAAAGCTGAAAACTTTCCAGATTTTTTTTTCTCTATTCTGAATATTGACACATTTAACCTGGTTTCCCTTTTAAGTGAAATTTTATAAGACTTGGTACATAAATATTTCAGGTATTGTCAAAATGTTGTGATCTTTGACCACCGAATAATTCACTTGAACACTCAGTTTCAGGCAATCTTCTATACTTTTGGATCTGTATGATGCCAGTGAGAGTGGATATCCCAAATATGATCATCTCAGTCACAAAGAAGCTCCATCCATCTGCTGTTCAAGCCTTATGCTTGTGATAGGCAACCAATCAGAAGAGGTTACATGGAGGCAGAGGAGACCTAAACTCATATGGAACTGTGAACCAAACAACGCTCCTTTAATAAAGTGCAAAAAAATATGTTGAATTCCCTCTAAACAAGAAATTATAATATAAAGACCAAAATATAATCAATTCAGTGTGGAATACATATGTGTCAGCAAATTTTCTACTGTGTTTTTCTCCACATACTGTCAATGATCCACTGAACAGCCCCCACTGTTGTTCTGAGGCAGCTCAGTCATCCAAGTCTCACATGAATGCCTTTTGGGAAGTCAAAGAGGCCATAAGCTTTACTAACACCTTTGCTTTTACTATGAGATGCAGCTTTAATGTTTTCTTTGTATGTGCACCAATAAGTTCTTTTTGTAGAGAACGACGGCGCAGTGAGGGCACTTCACTGACTTTAAATACATCACACGTGAAGAGAGCAGCTCTGTGGCTTCAGACTGTGCCGCCTCGGCAGGTGGTTTACAGGCGTCTGGAGGGGGAGCCGAGTTTGGCTGACAGGATGGCGGAGTGTCAACAGGTGACACAAGTGTGCAACAATGGTCTGACATTACAGAGTCCTCTCCAGCTGATGTGGGAAGGTTACGCTCCAAAGGAGGCTGCGCTGACCTCTGCTGGGGAGCACAGGGAGTGAAAAAGGATGATGACGATGATGCAGGTGCCCTGATTTCTGCCGAAGGTGGCACTGTATCACATGTGTTTCGACATCCAGTTACGTGTAATGTCATATCCTCTTTGCGCATGATTGTTTTCTCACAGTGCGGGCAGTGGTAATGACCCGTGTCTCGGCAAGGCAGGTTGCATCTGCAAATGTTTGTATCTGCAAGGGACAGCCATACATCACAGTTAGGAATTTAGCTGTCCAGCTGTGATTTTAGTCAGTGATGCGATGGCATAAATATTTAAAAATCATGTTTCTTTCAAAGTAACTCTAGCTTTCTTCTAAAGCTGATCTACTGACTCCAAATCAGAGTTGGTAAGAGTAAGTAAAACTGTTGACCTTTAAATGTACGGTAAATGCAACGCTGTTAATCAAAAGAAGCCCACATTTATTTCCTCTTGTCATCAGCTTACCTTGGAAATAAACTGCATTTTTGATGTGGGACTCCAGATGTCTGCACATGGTCCTTGCACGTGTGGTGGTGAATTTGGGACACAGAGGGCAGCCCAGCTGTAAACAATTCCCAGTTTTACTCTTTAACTGGCATCCAGTCTTAATTATGGATGGATGCATCCTTCATCATATTTTTATTTACTTTTTCCTTTATACAAAAATAAAACATATATGATGATGGATGGATGCATCTGGAAAACAGTTTTTTTATTATCATTATTACTTGTTCTATGTGGTTATTTTATAAATTATGAAAGAATAAACTACACAGCCCACATTAGGAGCCGGTTTCCAGGACAGTGACTAGGTTAAATGCCAACCGTCTCCTTA